GTTTAAGCATCTTACGTTAGCACCGCCGTACATGCAACCTAACTGTGATCTTTTCTCCGCGAAAATCAAGCAATCAACCATTTTGGTCCACCACGCGAATCGTTAGATCCGTAGCGCTCCATACAATGATCGGAAGGTAAATGATCTGCGTCGGCCTTTCCGATCTTATATCCCGGCGGCGCGCTCGGCGAAAATTTGTGTATACGCATCTATTGTTGCTGTACGCACCCGCAGTCACGTTGCATTCGATACGTATAATATTTACGTTGATGATATTTATCAGCACGTCCGACTTGTGCCACTGTCGCGGCTTCAACACGCGATTCGACGAAAATTCCAGCAGCGAGCCAATGTTGTGAAGTTTTGTAAAATTTATCCGATAGGCGCATTTGATCTTACTTCTCATCGTATTATTGTTGGCTCGAATAACCAGCGGGAACTCTTCATCCTCCTTGCCTTTCGCATTGTGAGAACGTAAAATTTCACACTTCAGATACTGCTCTATATATCACGCAATTCGTATGATTCTTCGGGAATGACAATTTCCTCGTTACTATAGTAAAACTTATTGTTTGTTGAATTTACATTGGCTGGAGTATAGTACATTTCAAAGTCCGTCAGACCGAACTCGTAATCACCCAAATCTACTGCTAGAAAGTAGCTCACGGGACATTAAAGTAGCACGCGAGGACACTAATCTTGCCGGTCAGCGTAAACGTCAACAGTAACATGTTTCAAACGAGCACTGAGTTAAATAAGGGAGTACTTTGCAATGGGACGACACGCGGACGTCGACTGTTTCTATCTCTGTCAGATGTATACCGAAGCACTTTATATGCGACAATTCAAATCCTGTTGATCCTGTTTAAACAAGATGGTACCAATCTGAAACGCGTGTACAACGATCACGTCAATACTGATATGTCTTATAAGGATTTCTGCGATTTATGTAGTAAATGTTGGCAGCAAAAGTATGAATTTCCAGTGATTGAGTGAAGAACAGTGCGCTTACCGACGATACAGAAAAGGATTTAATGACTTTGCAATATCGTGATGTGATCAGTTGACTTCGATACATTGACATGGACAATGATTGTGAAAGGATAGCTAAGGAGATTGTGAAAACGTGACTCAAAATATACCGCGCTTTGAAGAAAAATGGTAAAATGGAGGAGGATATTGCATTGGAGAGACACTTAACCTATTATTGACCCGCTGAAACAGATTGTTGAAAATACTGTTGAATCCTCCAAGGATCCTATTATGACTGAAACATTCTTTTTGGGAGAAGATGAGGAACCAAAACCCCCCAAAAAAACGACCGAGTTCTTTGTACGATCCTATACAGACTTCTATGCCTGTGAAATCAATGTTGAGTCAATCAAAAACCGTACCATCCATTATCAACGAAGTATCTGAAATAATACAACCGCGCGATTTATCGTATGACCACGCTCTCATTGTCGAAAAAATTTTCGAGGTCGATAGATCGCTCGTAACATCTATTCAATACCTGCTTCCAACATCCGAGGGGCAAGAAAAGCTGCATGCAAACTATGATCCGTTGGTACAAAAATATCTAAAAACGGTCCTGAGCAGTAAGAAAGCCGTTAACATAGACGTTGTGCATGGAGTTTATTTCAGCTACGAGGGAATAATGTTTGGTGACAAACGTATCACCTTACACAATGCTGGAACACCGGGCTTGTACGAGTTAATTTTCATGAAATTTCCCAACGAAAGTATTTGTACGGATGAGGACGTACAGACATACAGGAGCATTATGCTGACGACAAATGCTCACCGGTGCGGTCATAGCCCGAGTAATCAAGTAATGGGTAGTAAAGGATACAAGTATAAGAACTTAATAGCGCCATCGGTGTCGGATAAAAAAATTAGAACAGGAATAAACAAAAGAGTGGATTTACCGCGTACGATGATACTAAACGACAACAAGATCGACTCAATTAGGACGATCCCAACGAAATTATAGATCGTCTGCGATTACTCGAGGCCTCGCGCCAGGTGGGTCACACAACGAGATTCTGTCGATTATCGAAGAGCTTCGCAAAGCCGATCTGATTATAAATTAATCTCGTTCTACACATGTCGTTCAATTGACATCATAATATCGATCAACAAGTTTGGACTTCGCTTGGAGGAAGAAGCGAATCGCACTATCAGTGGTATAGATTGCTCAGAAATTACGTGCGCGATAACGTTCTTTGCATAATTGCAGCCGACTTTCACGCAAACCAGTGGATGATGCTGACGCAGCAAACAAACGATACGTGCAGTAGAGTGTTCAAGATTTGAAAGATTGTCTGAATGAAATTGAGAGGAAGATTGCAGTCTTACAAAATAATGTGCAGGTTATGCTAAACGAACTTGAAAAGATGATTTGAGAAGTGCTGAATAATTATCCGCAATGTCTGAGAAACGTCTGCTGGTTGATGAATTACACACTCCGATGAGAAGAAATTTTCCGCGAAGACACGTCACAGTACACGGATACGATGATCTGTGGCAGGCGGATGTGGTCGAGATGCGTCCTTATACGCGATTCAACAGACGTTACCACTACATTCTTATCATTATCGACGCTGAGTAACCACGCAGGGGCCGAGCCGCTCAAAGCCAAGAGCGGGAACGAGGCGACGAAGCGGTGACGAAGGCGATCGCAAAGATATTTCGAGACGATGGAAGATGTCCGAAAAATTTGCATACTGATAGAGAAAAGGAATTTTATAATTTGGATGTGCAGAAATTCTTGAAGAAGTAGAACGTCAACTATTATTCTACGTATTCCGTAATGAAGGCCTCGGTCATCGAAAGGTTCAATCGTACGTTGAAGAACGACATGTAAAAATAGTTTACGCACAATGGAAATTACAAATGGATCGACATCTTGCCGCGTCTCGTATCAAATTACAACGCGCGCAAGCATCGAAACTATTAGTATGCGTCCCGTCGACGTTACCTCTGCGATCGCCAGGACAGGCTCTTAATCATGATTTACAATCGCGTAAAGATTGCCGCACTCGCGCGATACAAAGTGAGTGATTCGGTACGCGTGAGCAAATTCAAGACAGTCTTTGATAAAGGTTACATGCCGAATTGGAGCACGGAGGTGTTTTAAATTATCAAAGTGCAACAACCAAATCCATAACAAACTAATCCAGTGACTATCTTCTGGAAGATTCTTGCGGAGACCCTATTGCTGGAGGATTCTACAAATATGAATTGCATAGCGTCGCTATCCCCGATGTACATCTCGTTGAAAAGATGTTACACAAGACGGCGAATGAGGTTTACGTAAAATGATTGGGATTTGACAATTCGCATAATTCATGGATACATAAAGACAATGTACGAGTATTGTAAAATTATAAAAATATAAATACGTATTATACATATTATAAATATCATATACATATTGTATTTACATATTATACATGCTATATATTATACATATTATACATACTATATTTTACATATTATACATGTTATATATATATATTAAACATACTATATAATACAAATTTTATTTACATCGGTAATGCCCCCACGACAGCATGTCCGTGGAACCTGGCATGATATCCCGCTTATCGTGCGGACTTAGAGCGATTTTTGTTTTTTATATTGTGTACATCTCGTGCAATTTGGATCTTATGCACGACTGTCTGCGAGTCATTTCGATTGCGTCATTCAAGCACCGCGTGTAATCTTCAAACGTATAGACTTAGATGCTACAACGTTGTTTTTGACGCCCTTTGCTTTCATGGTATCTTTCTTTCCTTCTACACACAAGGCATACATTTTCGCTCTGAGTCCAACGATCATGATGGCACTGTTGTTCTCGTCTTTCATAAGGTCAGGAACTTTTTTTTATTTGTGAGCGGAATGCCATACGCGTTGTTGCTCAAGTAATCGTTCGTGTCAAATCTATTTATATCGCGTTTTATGACATCGTAAACATCGTCACATTCTATGAGGCTATTAGCATCGGTATATATAATTTTTTCTTTTTTGCGAAACAGCGGTGCCATATACTCGTGGTAAAATTCGTACAAACACCTCTTGGATATGTTGAGGATGTACATATCCACGTATATCGGTTTGTTAAATTTCACTTCGAACTTATGCAGTTTTATCGCGACTAAATTCTCCGAAAATACGCTACGGCTATGGAAATCTGATTTTGCGATCATTGCCTCAGCTCCGTATCTGCCTTCTCATTAAGTTAATAACTTAACTTTACGTCGATGCGATCGCGTACGTTCTCCATGGTTTTGCCAAATACCGCGTACAACCAGTACCGTCGTATGGAAAGACGACCTTTCGTGTCAAAAGATTAAAATTTTCTTCTGATAAATTGGAAAATTCGTGTGCAGTATCTGTAGCTTATCTTTACTGAGAAAAGATGTAGCTTATCTTTACTGAGAAATGATGAATTTGTCCAAATTAGAAGTGAGAAATCTGAAAGAATCTATAAACCGTAATTTTACAATTTTTTAAATCAATTTTGGTACTATCGACATTTTTAGTAAATGAGATGTATAATATTTTTCTTTAGTTATCGGTAAAAGATCAATGCGTCCTTCGTACGCGGTAGCAATTTTCTTGATGATGAAATGCGCGTCATAACCTGATAAGTTATGGAAAACTGCGGAAAACTATGGATATGCAATGTAAATCTCTATAATTTAGATTGCAATTTGAATGCGTGGGGCCTCTGTATAGCCCGGTTAAGTGGCAGTGATCGCGTACCCGCGTATCTTCTGATGCAAATGGTTCTCACACACGTGACATGCGTGACGCTGTTAAATTTTTACCAATCGTCTCGCGTGAAATCGGCTATGGGTACATTAGTCGAAATTATAGACTGTACAGTATATGCTAAATGTCTAAGTTCTTCCGCAAACCACGCTATATAGTTTTTATTGCGGCGAAAACGATAGCCCGAGTTGTTGTATGAGCAGTGCACGTAGTATCCAATGCTAAACACGTTGTGATGATGATACGTGTACGTAGCTAATGTGGGATCCATATCTGTTTTTCTCCAATGCACACTCCAGGTTAGCGTAAATAATGAACGGGCGCTCCTTTCTGCTGTGGTTGTCAAAACTTAGCCATTTATCGTCCTCGCTCGGCAGCCTTATCGCGCAATCATTCAATTTCCCACAGTCTTCGCTGTGGATCTCCAATTTTGCGCTCGAGCTGAAGTAATAAAGGCATCTGAAAAAAACCGCGCATTTATTATTATTATTAATATTATTATTGTTGTTATTATTATTATTTCACGTACCTATCGCAGAAATATTTTCTGTTCTTGTTTCCGCTAATTTGCGATCTGACAAGGCGGGATAGATCTTTAATCAACGCGAAATGTCCCGCGTTGTCATCCTCTATGTACAAGAGATTTACATACTTGCTCCTTTTTCGGTCGGCGAGTCGTATCGGCACAATTCCTTTCTGAATGGTGTAGATGTTGATGGAAATGTCATTCAAAGTTTCGAATTTCTTAATTTGATTCAACGTCATTGGAAATTCGATGCCCGCGAGATTTAGAACTGACTTATAATGCGGATACGAGGATTTTCGTTCCATTTTTTTGAGCCGGGTGTGGAGCGGCAATAACAGACCATGTGAAACACGCATTATCCGCAGTTTACAAGTTGATTACCTCTCTTTTTAACATAATTTCCCGCGGGACACAGTGGGATAAAAATCGAAAAAGGTGGACATGAGCATGTAACATTGAAAAATCGTCTCAAAAATCTTTACTCAGGGGTTTTTGGGGTCGCTGAATTCGAATCTGACATTTTTTTTTGAAAAACAAAATGGCGGATCCAATATGGCGGATGAAAAAATAAAAAATTGATCCGAATTGCTTGAAACTCGTTACTCGGGGGTTTTTGGGGCGCTGAATTCAAATGTGACAATATTTTTCTAGAAAATAAAATTGCTGCTGCAGTATAGCGATCTAAATTTGAAATTTTGTTCAAGGAAAGGTTTTATGAAAAAGAAATACAAGTTGGAAGTGACACATCAATATTTTTTATTCCTACTTAATATATATATCATTATTATATATTATTATAATAAAATTGATATATCAATCGCTGTCAACTTCAAAATCGCTTTCATGTGTAACATCTGAAATTTCTACTTCGCTTTCTGTATCTGAATCATTTATGATCATTTGCCGTGCTTCATATAACAGTGATTTCTTTTGTTTTTTTGGAATTTTTCGAACGCTTGATACAAAGGGATCGGAGCTAAGCAATAGTCGATGAAATACATCGGTCATTGTCGCTTTGCGGCTATGTTTTCTCGAAAAATCTCGACGATATTTTTTTATTAACTTATTACTAGCTTCCTGCGCTTCCTCAGACATTTGGCCAATTGGCAACAAAGCCGAAGCTATTATTAAAGGACCATGTATCAATAGTTTATGGATAGTTGTTGGCATCGGATACCATGGATACAAATCCACAAACAGCTCAGCTGTTTCAAAGGCGAACTTCTCGTATTTACTAATATCGATGTCATAGTTTGATGAGATCAATTGTAGAATTACATGAAATCTCCTGATCAAACGAACATCTATATTAGTAATTTCAGAGGAAGTTGCAGCCTCTTGAAAAAAGCGACGAGCAGTGTTGCCGTCGTTTGAACTGCCCCCTTGCTTCGGTTGGTCAACAATTAGGCCTAATTTTTCCTTGAAGGCTTTCTGTGTATCAGCCTTTCTTTTCTCAACAATTTTTTTAACGTTCGCACCCCTCGCTTGCCATTTTTTGATATCTAGTTTGTATGACAAATGTAAGCAACACTCGAAACATCGGATCCAAGCATGTAACGAAGATATGCCAAATTCTAAATTTGTCTCATTTATATCAAGTCCAACCATCATATTAATATCATTGAAGTCTTTGGAGGTTGCGTTACACAAATAACAACGTTGTGCTGAGTCAGTTTCCGACAGTGCGTTGCAAACTTTACCGTCCACCATTGTCAGTGATAAACTGTAACGCACCTTAATATTCTTCCCGCGAAAATATTCGTTAAACGGAACAAGATTTTCCACTTGGTCTTCGACATATTTCACTTCGTTTCTGGTTGTTTCCGGTGTTTCTTTTAAATACTCTACTTTAATTGGTCTGCAAAACCGTGAGGAAGAAGGTCGGGGATTTTGCCATATGATCATTTCTGTACCATCCTCTGCAATGTGCAACAATCGCAAAGGTACTAGTGATGTAAAAAATATACTACTATCTGTTACTGCATCGTCATTACTGGAAAACTTTTGCTTATAGACACTTTGCCCCGACGTTCCGTCACAGCCCCACTTGCAGATTAAATTCAAGTTTAACAAAACATCGTCTTTCAAGTTTAAAATGTCATTTGTTCGCAGATTTAAAATACGCTTAACAGTATGATTCAGTAAGGATTGAAGACTTATAGAACCACATGTTTCAGTGATTGTGATTGATTCTTTGTCAGGGTAACACATTTTCTTTGCTTCTGCGACGATGACATAAGAAGGATAAGCTTTCGAATTGACCATTGTACAACCTGACCTTACAACTAAATACTGCCGCTTGGAAAAATTCGCTTCAATGAAAACAGACAATGCTTCTTCAGGCGTCAATGTTCTCTCTTTGACCTGGCCTTCCGACGATCTGTACGATGATGCTTTAGATGGACTCCCCTCCGAGACCCTTTTAACCACGTGCGCTGCGTCAACTTGTCCTGCTGATCGAAGGCTCATCTGAGTTGCGAATGCGAGTTCCTCAGCACCGTACTCTTGTCGCAGTTGTTGGGTTCTTCTACGTTTTGATCTGTCACTGCATTCCGCGAAGCTTTTCGAATGTCTTTTTTCAGTATTTGTTTCACCGGATGCTTTTTGATCATTGAACACAATGGAACCATTTAACCATTCCTGATTTTTTGCTCTAAATCTGCTCTCTGTTCTCGCCGATTCTTTCCATAAAGTGCGAAATCGATACAACAAATAGGACACACTTTTCTTCTCTTCTTCCGATAAATAATATTTCCGATTCGCTTTTTTGGAAACGTAGTTTTCCACTACTTCAAGAGTTTTTGTTAGTTCGTTGTTCAATAAGTCTTTCAGAATGATGAATAGTTCACTTCTCTGAATGGATATCTTCTCGTTAGACCTCATTTCTGAAAAAAAATCAATATTACATTACTCATTATAGAAATAATTAAAAAATTATCCATTTTTGCCATATATTGATTTTTAAAAAATTAATTATATATTCTTGAAATTTTATTATTTAGGTTATACACTCAATTCACTTTTTTAATCGATAGTCTGATTCGTAAATAGCGACCCCGAAAACCCCCCAGTAATGATTTGGTAAATATTTATCAATTTTTTAAAATGTTTGGCCGCCATATTGGATCCGCCATTTTGTTTTTCAAAATAAAATTGTCAGATTCGAATTCAGCGACCCCGAAAACCTAAAAATCAGATATATCTTCTTGATTAACAACATACATAAAGATTTATCGACATTTCAAAATTTTTTCCGCCATATTGAATCCCCCATTTCGTTTTTGAAAAAAATATCATCAGATTCGTAATCAGCGACCTCAAAAACCCCCAAGTAACCATTTTCAGCAACATTCATTAAAATGGAATCAATTTTTTAGTCATTTACATGTTCTTTATATTTTGCATATTTATGCATGTTTATAAACCAAGTAATGTAAACAGCGGGGTTGCAGGTTGTTGCAGCTAATTCCTTCGCGAATTCAAAGTTCAGGGGTTATTAAACAATTTCCCGTGTCATCCATTGATCGAGTGAAGTCGAGTGGTAAACTTTTTCATCAATGTTTACTAAATTTTTTGCATATAAATGACAAAAACATAGGTTCACTTAATTATTTATAAATATTTACTGGTTAGTAATTAAGAAATTATAATTTTTCGTTAAATTCTACATACCTTGCTGAGAAGAATCCATATAGCGACTTTTCAATATCTACTTTTATCGAGAAATGCACACACTTTCACTTTTCGGTCGGAACTGCACATGTTTTCGTTCTCGACGCGTCTCCTCCAACGGTCAACTTTCGAATGGCCCTATGCAATGCTGTGCGGCATGTAGCGCTTGAAAACCGGTTTTCTTTGTACTTTGGGGTTCCTAGAAACGGTCGGGACACATTGCAGCGTTAAACTAGAACCTTCGATTTTCGGCAAATGGCCAGCTTTTTACGATTTCATCCCACTGTGCGGGAGTTTGATATGACATCCCGCGCGCAGAGAATTGTGCTTGTTCGCGTTCACTGTTTAATTCAGTATACACGACAATGTCCATCCGCTATTGCGTTCCTGAAACTCTTCCAGTGATGTTAATCGGTAGGCTCGACGACGCGCGACACATACCACTCGCGCAAATCGGTGCATCGATATAGTTCATAGTTTCGAGTGGCAATATTCTTATTCGCGTGTTTATCGCCCGCCACGAACTCACATTAAAAATAGTATTTATTTTTATAGAGTTATATCGTTGCATTACACTATGCACATGCTCGAACACAATTTCATTCACGTCTTCGAGGAAACGGCGAGCCTCGATATGTTTATCACCGCGCCCGTCAGAATACGGCTTTCGAATGCCGTTTCGATTTCGCGCCAACGAAGTCCATACCCGGCGCCCACATGCACGATCAGATTTCCACGTACAGATTTTTTCAGACTCTTGAGCCGCGTGATACATGCGATCAGTGATTGTCTATTACCGATTGATAATCGCGGGCGTTTGATACGGCTCTGCTCCTCCAATGATTCTATAAACTCATCGTATCGCTGTTCCCATGTGACGTACTCTACTCTTGTATTAAGCAAGGTAGCTTGTGCTCAATCAAATCACGCTCCATGTTGTCACTTGCGCTGTCGAATTGATTAATGATGCGGTGCATCTAAATCTTGTCATTTTTATATCATTATGTGCGCTATTTTTATTAATGTAAATTAATAAAATTTTTATTAATTAATCATCGCCTAGACATCTCATGTCCTGAGAAAATCTTAAATTACGCTAACAAAGCAACTATACTTTGATGAAATTGCAAATGTTGCATTTTTGTGGTGGCGGATCGCGCTCGGTGGCCATTGATCCCGCGCCACGTCTTCACCGCAACGAGGACGGAAGTTTCCGCACACCTCCGATATGTAATTTCCCGCTACGTAATTTCCCGCACCCGGGACATTTTCGTTCTCCGCACCACCATCTCCGCAATGTCACCCATTGTGACGTCATTTCCCTTCTCCCCTGTGACGTCACCTCCTCGCCTAGTGACATCACCCCCACCCCGCGGACCTCCGCGCTGCGTGTCCCCCCTGCCCTTCACCCTTCCTCACCGCCAGCCCCCCTCACAGAGGACCCGAGTTAGAATCCCGCTTATTTAGCTACCTACCCTACTTGTATGTATTAGGTATAGTAAAAAGAAATCTATTATTTTTCCAATAGATGGCTTTAGTAATCTATATCTCGCGTTGTATAAGTGCGATCGGATTACGCCAAATGGCGTTAGAAAGATAAGATTTCGTACTACAAAAACTTCTCAGACAGTTTTGTGATTACTTGAGTCAGTATTGTTTGAGCGCGTGTCAAAGATGGACACCAACAAAGAGAAAATACGCCATATTTTACAGTTTTTCTTCGATAAAGGCGAAAACGCAAGCCAGGCGGCTGAAAATGTGAATAGTGTTTATGGTCCTGATACTGTAACAGTCAATATCGCGCAATTTTGGTTTCGTCGATTCCGTTCCGGTAATTTTGATGTCAAAGATGCACCACGCTCTGGAAGGCCAATTGTCGAAAATGTCGATAAAATAATGGAAATCGTCGAGTCCGACCGTCATGTAAGCACTGTTTCGATTGCCCAGGAGCTAAACATTGCACAAAAAACCGTTTGGAACCATTTAAATAAGGCTGGATACAAAAAGAAGCTCGATGTATGGGTGCCACACGAGTTAACGCAAAAAAACCTCATGGACCGAATTTCCATCTGCGAATCGCTGCTGAATCGCAACAAAATCGACCCATTTCTGAAGCGAATGGTTACTGGTGATGAAAAGTGGGTCACTTACGACAACGTCAAGCGAAAACGGTCGTGGTCGAATCGCGATGAGCCGGCGCAAACGGTGGCCAAGCCAGGATTGACGATCAGGAAGGTTTTGCTGTGTGTTTGGTGGGATTGGCAGGGAATCATCTACTATGAGCTGCTCCCCTACGGCCAAACTCTTAATTCAGACCTGTACTGTCAACAATTGGACCGTCTGAAAGAAGCAATCGCCCAGAAGCGGTCAGCTTTGGCCAATAGGAGAGGAATTGTGTTCCATCAAGACAACGCCACACACATCGATAGTGACTCGCCAGAAGCTCCGGGAGCTTGGTGCATAAGAGGTTCTTATGCATCCATCTTATAGTCCGGACCTGGCACCAAGTGATTACCACCTGTTTCTGTCTATGGCGAATGATTTTGCTGGTGAAAAATTCGCCTCAAGAGAAGCTTGTGAAAATCGATTGTCCCAGTTTTTTGCCAATAGGAACGAGGGTTTTTATGAGAGAGGCATAATGAAATTACTTTCAAAATGGCAACAAGTTATC